TTTAAATGGATATTCAGTAGGTGATAAACAACTTTATGTTGGTCGTTTCCAAAAAAAAAATGAACGTTTATCAGAAATTAAACGTAAAAAAGATTTACAAAGACAAGAACGTATGAATAAATATCAAGGTGTTAATTTATATATTAAAAATTTGGATGATACTATTGATGATGAACGTTTAAAAAAAGAATTTTCAAAATTTGGTACAATTACAAGTGCTAAAGTAAAAATTTAAAAAAAAAAATTTATTTTATTATTTAATTAATTATTATTTTAGGTTATGTCAGAAAATGGTCGATCAAAAGGTTTTGGTTTTGTTTGCTTTAGTGCACCTGATGAAGCAACAAAAGCTGTTACTGAAATGAATGGTTCAATTGTTGGTTCAAAACCACTTTATGTTGCATTAGCACAACGTAAAGAAGAACGTCGTATGCATTTAACTAATCAACATATGCAACGTATGGTAACATCACGTGTACCACCACAAATGCCATTACCATTTCCAAATGGTATGAGTGGTATGATGCCTTATTTACAAGCACCAATGGGTCCATCACAACCACGTAATTACTTTACACCAACGGCTATGCCAACTTATCGTCCGGCTCAACCACGTTGGTCATCAGCTGCACCAGCTGGTGGTATGAGACCTCCAGCAGGTGCACAAATGATTGGTATGCAAATGCCACAATCAGCTATGGCTGCTGCTCAACGATCAGCTGCTATGGCTGGTGTTACATCACGATCAGGTATGCCAATGCCTAATCGACCAACACCAACACCAGGACAAATGATGCCAAATAATTCAATTCGACCACAAACTGGTGCACAACCACAACAAGCAACAGCTTATACACGTACGGCAAGAAATATGCCATCTGGTGTAAGTATTTCATGATTAAATGAAATAAGACTTTAGCTATTACGTAGAAACTTTTTTTTTCTGCGAGAGATATTTATGAAAATAAAAATGTTCTTATTATTTTTTTGTAGAATCCAGGTGGATTTCCAAATTCAATTGTAGTTGCTGGACAAGAACCATTAACACCAGCTGCTCTTGCTAATGCAACACCACAAGAACAAAAACAAATGTTAGGTGAACGTTTATTTCCATTGATTCAACAAATGCAACCAGAATTAGCTGGTAAAATAACTGGTATGCTTCTGGAAATTGATAATACTGAACTTCTTCATATGCTTGAATCACGAGAATCACTTAAAGCTAAGGTTTGTGTTTGTTTTTTTATTTTTTTCATAAAAATCTTCAATAGAAAATCTTTTTTTTTTTGTTTTAATTAGGTTGAAGAAGCTATTGCCGTACTTCAAGCTCATCAAGCTAAACAACTTTATGCAGCTAAACAAGCAGCAACTAATTCAGCTGCTTCATAAAAAAAAAAAGAAAAAGAAAACTTCAATGTCGTCATTTACAAAAAAAAACAAAACAAAAAATAAACAAACATATTGACACATATACACACGTTGATTGTCTTTTATGTTCTTACTTTTCTTTTGCATTACATGCGCAGTTCGATCATCTTGGCACATTTTTGTTAACTTTCGGTTTTTTTTTTCTTCTTCTTCTTCTTCTGTTTCGTTTACTATTGTTCGTTGTTATTATGGAAGTGCGACAAACGTTACGCGCTACAAAATTATTATTAAATCAAGGGAAAAAAAAAAGATTTTACTAAAATACTCCTGGTTTTTTGTTTTTCTATTTGTTGTTGTGTTTTATGCTAATGTATGCGTATTATTATTATCATCATCATCGACTACTCAGTAAGGCAGATCAAACATATAGATATATATATGTACGTGTGTGTGTGTGTCTGTGTTTGAAGAGACAAAATAAAACGAAAAAAGAAAAACTCCTATCATAGTTTCTCTCTTTATATATTGATGACGTAAATTTATTCATATTTATTTAACGATCATCAAACGATCATGTTTAAACAAAAAAAAAGAAAAAAAAAAAGAGAAGCGGACAGTAAGCCTAGTGATTCGGTGGGTCAAACGATTGTTTCTTCTTTGTGCATTTATAACAAGTAGAAAGTATAGGGATGAAATATCTTCTCATCAAACTTTTCATTGTTATATTCTTTGTCTATATTCAATGTGAAATAACTTATATTGAAGTAAAATATCCATTAAAGGTAAGTTATTTATTTTGAGAAAAAAAAAAAATGATAGTAAAAGAAAATTTATCAAGGGTAAACGATCATCACCAAATGCAATTTGGCCACATCCACAACAAATCAATATTTCAAATGATTTGTTATATATTCGTCCGAATGATCTTGCAGTGTATTCTAATCTTCAAACTTGTGATATTATTGCAAAAGCAATTGAACGATATAAATCAATTTTTTTTCCACCAACACTCGATATGAAACAACCATTATCAAATTTAGAAAATATTTTACAAAATTTAACATTAAATGTTAAAGGTAATATTCAATGTGAAAAATATATTGAATTAAATTCAAATGAAGCTTGTAAGTAGGAAAAAAAAAACAAAATCACAATCTAATTTACAAAAAAAAAATTTTACTTGATTTCAATTAGATAATTTAACAATCAAACAAAAAATTGCTTTAATTGAAGCATATAGTATTTGGGGTTTATTACGTGGTCTTGAAACATTTTCACAATTAATCTATATTAATGAACAAAATTATGTATATTTTACTTATTCTTATTGATATCAATTTCATTTATTTTTATTTATTTAGATTGTTATCAATAGTTCTGTTGATATTATTGATAGTCCACGATTTCGTCATCGTGGTGTTATGCTTGATTCAGCACGACATTTTTTACCAGTATCAATTATTAAAAAAAATCTTGTAAGTTTTAATAAAGTATATTTCGAAATGATTGTAGTTTTTTTTTTCTATATTCATATTATAATAGGATGTAATGTCATATAATAAATTTAATGTATTTCATTGGCATTTGGTCGATGATCAATCATTTCCATTTGAAAGCAAAACATTTCCAAATCTTTCACGAGCAGTATTTAGATATAATTATTTTTCTTTGTTTGTACCTTTAAAATATGATATTCTAGGGTGCTTATTCATCTGATCATGTTTATACATTAGCTGATGTTGCTGATATTATTGAACATGCACGATTACGTGGTATTCGTGTTATACCTGAAGTAGATTTATTTGATGTTGTATTTCAAGTTGAATTTTTTTTTTTTTATTTTATCAAAAATAATAGATTGATACACCTGGTCATACATATTCATGGAGTAAATCTATGCCAGAATTAATCACTGTTTGTTGGGCACATGGAAAACCTCATCAATCAATTTATTCAATTCAAGGTGAAATGGAAATATTTAATCCAAGTGAATCACGTGTCTATTCAACAATGGATACACTTCTTCGAGAAATTCATGAACGATTTCCTTCAAATTATATACATCTTGGTATATGAAAAGAATAGAATTTTTTTTTTTTTGTCTTAATTTTTTTTTTTGTTCAGGTATGGATGAAGTTTATGATAAATGTTGGTATGTAATTTATTATTTAGAAGAAATTTTTTTGTTGATTTTATTTTTCTTCTCTTCTTTAGGCTTTCTAATCCAAATATTCGTCAATGGATGATTGATAATAATATTTTAAGTACAAAAAATCTTCATAAATATTATGCAGATCAAATTTTAGACATTGTACGTAATATTAGTGTAACACCCATTGTTTGGCAAGATGTTTGGGATGAACAAGTTGAAGTAAAGAAACCAAAAAAAAAAAGATTTTTTTTTTTTCATAGAATTATTCTTTGATTTTTTTTTTAATTTAGTTACCTCCAGGTACTATTATTCAAGTATGGAAAGATTCCAGTGATAATATTGAATTTAGTTCATGGGCTTCATATTTAAATCGAGCAGCTAATGAAGGTTATAATGTTATACTTTCAAGTCCTTGGTATATTAATTATATTAGTTATGGAAAATATAATACAGATGCATCTGTAATGAATTTGGAATTTTTTAAATATTATGAAGTTGAACCACTTCGACAATTTTCTGGTAAAATTTTTTTTTTATTGATTAAATATAATTTAAGAATTTATATGAATTGATTTCTAGGAACAAATGAAGCAAAAGAACGAATACTTGGTGGTGAAGCATGTCTTTGGGGTGAATTTGTAGATGGAACAAATTTACTTTCACGTTTTTGGCCTAAAGCAGCTGCTGTTGCTGAACGATTATGGAGTTCAGCTAATGTAAATAATTCAGAAGAAGCTCAATTTCGTTTGGTAACTTATGATTTTAGCAAAACATTCTTAATTTTTCCTGCCTTTGTTTTGTTTTTTTTTTTTAGGATGTTCATCGATGTCGTCTTTTAAGGTTTAAGAAAAAAACTTCCTTTAAAAATTGATATGATTCATTGGTTTTTTTTTTGTTTAGACGAGGAATACCTGCACAACCAATTCTAAATGGTTATTGTGGTAATTATGAATTAGGTATGTTAAAATCAATGATTAATCATCCATCATTTAATTATGATCATCCAACATGGACTGAAACAAGAATACCATCATCTGGAAAAAGTTTTGCGAGTCTATCTTCATCATCATTGAGAATGTTTAGTTATAAATTATATCATATTGTTTATTTAATATTATCATTATTCTTCGTTTATATGTGTCACAAATGTTAAAATTAGAACTCTTAAGGATATCAGAGAATCATATAAACTTCTTTTTTTTTTTTGTTAGATTATGTATCGTTTGATTTCTTCAATAAAATAAAAAAAAAAAACTTTTCATTTTATTCTATGATATCTTATTCAAAAACACAATTGTTAAATCATGAAGGACGTATGAATGAGTTTTGTACATGTAATTCAATCTCTTCAATATAAATTGTCTATAAAATTAAAACAAACACAAAAGAAAAACGAATAGATAAGGTTGGTATAGTATAACGAAGATAATTTTTCAACATTGTCTATGTGAAAAGTATTGTATTAATTTATATCTATAAAATGCAAGAAAAAGAGCAACAATTGAAATTATTTCCTGAACGAAAACGTGATGATTGGATAGGTCATCATAAAAATGATCGTGATTCAGTAAAATTAAAACAACGTAAGTATATTGAGTATTTGTTTAATTATACATTTTTAGGATCTAATAATTGCCTTTTAATGTCAAGATATCACATTTACATAATGAAAATTAGCGAAAAGTGTTCATTGTTTCATATTTTTCTTAAAAAATCAATTTTTGAATACAAAAACTAAATTTATGGCAGATGTTACAACGTTTTTTTTTTCTCTAAAATTATCTTTACAATTGATTAATGTATTTTTTTGTTTTTTTTTATAATTAATTTTCAGAAACGGAAAATATAAGTTTAGCTAGTGAAGACTATCGTCATTCTTCGTGTAAATCAAAAGTGAAACGATTGTCGGATAATATCAGTCAAAAAAAGCTTTTATTGCATCTACCAATTATACATATTCCGGAGATGTCAGTGAAAACTTTACAGCGATGGTGCGAAGCTCGAAATACATATCTTGGTCAACAATATCCATATTTACAAAAACATCGAAGCATCAAACAAAAAGAGAATACATCAAAAAATGAAGAAAATATATCTATTTTTACGGTTGAATCTGAACAATTGAATGCAATGGATCTTCCATATCGTTCATTTGAAAAACAACAATCACAAAATGTACAAAGTATTTGTGATCATTTGAAAGATGAATGTGTCGGAACAGAGCTAAATGAAACAGTATTCTTAAATACAGATATCGAACATATTGATCAAGCTAATCAAGTAGATTTACCATCTCCTCAATCTGAATTGTATCTTAATAATAGTCATAATACAAGTATGATAGAAAATGAACAAAACCAACCAAAATTATCGAAACAAGAGTCTGTTGAATATTGTGACAAAGCCATAGAAACAGATTTAATCTTAAATAGTACTGAAAAAGAAAACGAATCTATTCATCAGAATATAAAATTAGTTGATTCAGCTATCAATCAAATTAATGATGACGATACTAAAACAATTCTCTCATCAACTAAATCAAATACTTCTATTTATGAACAATTTAAAATGTATTTTTCAATTATATGTTATTCTTTTGGTTTTCTTTGACTTAAAAGAGAATTTGATTATTGTAGACTAAGATTTCGTTTCAAACGGCTATCACAACAACGTCGTCTACTGAGTTGTGTCTTACTTTTATATCTTATTATCATGTGTGGTTTACTTGTAGTTATATTTCTTTTATTATGGGGATTTCAAGGTAACCTATGTGTGTTTATTAAAACGAACATTGTGTTGAAACAAATAAATGAATACAAATATTCTTTTTTAAAGAACGATCTTCGATTTTCTATGGAGGAGTAACAAAGATTGATACTACTAATATTATTGAAGGAGGTAATGAAAATTATTATTAATAATTCTTATCTACATTTATTAGTTGCTCGATATGGTGAATCTTGTTATAATGATAATGATTGTAAACGACCATTTACATGTTACAAGAAACGATCATCATCATCATGGGGTACCTGTCGATGTCCATTAAAGTTTGATCTTGTCAACAATCAATGTGGTAAATAAATTAGTACATGATGTTTTTATATAAAAATAAAGAGATGATTTTATTCTAATTAGTTGGTGATCTAAATGCATTATGTAGAAAAGATACTGATTGTCAACGATATATGGTTTGTTCAGGTATGGATGATGGAACAAGACGTTGCCATTGTCAGACATTATATAGTTATAATACTGAACAAAAACAATGTTGTAAGTAAATTACTTTTTCATTGTTGAATTAAATATATATATTGTTTATTTTAATATAGATGGTGATTATCGTGCTCCATGTCAAAGTAATATTGATTGTCAAGCTAATCTTATATGTAATAAGACGAGTGCGCCACCAATGTGTTCATGTCAATTAAATTATCGATATTATCCATTAGTACACAAATGTCGTGGTGATCCGGGTGCTATTTGTAAGATAGCAACTGCTGAATGTACTGATAATGCCGAATGTCGTGAGGGTGCATGTGAATGTGCATTTCAATATGTACCTGATGAAAATAAACTATGTGGTTAGTTAAGTGTAGAAATTTTTATATGAATCTTCTATTTGTTATTTTTAGTTGATCCATGTCCTAAAATAGAACCAAATCCAGTAAGAATTCGTTATCCAGGAAATTGTCAGCGATTTATTGATTGTCAACAAAGGTAATTGATGCGACGAGTGCAAGATTAAAAATATTCTATATCATTATAGATCCAAAAATGAATGTCCTGCAATGACAATATTCAATTTTCGTACTCAACTTTGTGATTATCCTAAAAATGTATTAGATTGTCGGTAGACTCTTCTTTTTTTGCTATCTCATCATATATGTATTTTTCTGTGCCTATCATAAACTTCAAATAGATTTAAAAAAATAGCTAAGGTTATATGATTATCTTATGCTTGATTTCAATCAAGAATCGATCTCTACGAAGTTGTCTCTTTTTGAACAGTACCGTTATCTAGTCTAACACGTTTGACTTGACATGATTCGAATGGATGTCGGTCTCTCTTTGCGACTACGTGACAGACACACTATGACTATAAAATGTTATGTGCAATGAGATTGATGTCATCTGTAGTCATATGTTCTTGAAGTCGCTTCTGCTGCTTCTGAGCTCATGGCATCAAGACACGATCAACCATAGTTGACAATTGGGGAATTCACAGTTAGTACTACGTACATGACAATAACAAACAACAAACATCATAAATGCATTGTCAAAACGTTGGTATTTTCCTTCAATATGTTACCACAAACCATTCAGGTAAGAATATACGTATGGTTAGGTTATAAGTCTAAGATTGATTTGAGTCATGTTGTTCTTTTTTGACGTTATTCGCCTCATGATCAAATTTTACTCATGCTCTTGGTGAATTACAATAAGTTTCTCTTATGTAATTCAGATCTTTGGTAATTATTTTGTCAATCAATTAAAATATGTAAAATTGAACCTTGTTATCCGTGTTTTAAACTCTAGAGAACGGTAAATTGCTAAAAATTCTTTCGAACCATTTCAGGAAGATAGATGTCTTGAGATGATCTAAATGATTAGGTCTCGATTTTTTACCCGAAATAATGACAACCTATGATAGGACGGAATTACCTGTATGTGTAAGTGTTTAATTATTGTTCTTATGTTAATTGAAATCGCTTCGTATTGCATTTATGTAGTCTTTAGTGAATTTTCTTCTTTTACTTACTAGACGTAAGCATTGAAAGTTATCATTTTCTACTGCTTTGATTTCGAAAATGGATCGTTAACAAATGTGCAGATAGACGTGCTTGCACTGTTTTATTCATGCATCGGCGAAAGTAATAGATTTTTACAGAATCTTTTTCTGTACGAAACTCTTATAACTATTTGAAATCAAAACTGAGTATATCGTTTTAGCTCTATACGTTAATATTGAATCATTCCAAATTTCATCCTTGATCTACATACGACTACATGAAGACAAATAAAATAATTTTTTCACATGAAATTCCTATTCAAATAAAATATTTTGTACAATTTGTACTGCTCTTGATCATGATATATTAAGCAATAAAATTACATAGATATCACCATTTGCAAAATTAATAGGTGGATAGTTTTAAAAGAATGACACACGGCATGCTATGATTATATCATCAATAAAATCTGAACAGATAGATGAATTAATGTCTCTTTGTCTAATATCAACACCAAAACTAGATGTTCTGAAACGTTATGATGCTCAACCATAATTGATTTCACTCATACATATTAATTATTTATTCATATTCGAAAAAGAAAGAGTATGAATACCATATTGTTTATCTTGTTGTTCTCGTCAGTGACCAATTATTGTCAGCGCCAGAATTAAGTGTGAGTTGATCGAAGACGGATATCTCGAGAACGGCAAAGCTAGTGATCTGTGTGTGATTTCCAGCAATCGAAAGAGGCTGAATTAGGACATGTTTTGATATAATATTGTAGAAGTTGAAATCATTACCTAACGTATCTTTTTCGGGAATCTTTTCAAAAAATGTATCACAATGCAATGTAGTTCCAATGCAAATTTCATTCTGATATGCAAATTAGATAGAATGGTTTCAGCTCTATAGTTCAAGATACAATACGAATGATTAACTTCTCATTGTCTAATGTTGAGCAAATGAATTTAGCCATTTCCATGCCGAAATAATAGGAAATCGCATTGATTTTTTACCAATTCTTTTTACTTTTTTATAAAATTTTCATCGGGGAAACAAGCGGTTTCGACAAAAAATTAAAAAAGTTTGGTAAAAAATCAATGTGATTTCCTATTATTTCGGCATGGAAGTGACCGAATTCATTTGCTTAACATTAGACAATGAGAAGTTAATCATTCGTATTGTATCTTGAACTATAGAGTTGAAACCCTTCTGTCTAATTTGCATGTCAGAATGAAGATTGCGTTGGAACTAAATTATATTGTTACACATTTTTCGAAAAGATTCCTAAAACAGATTCGTTATGTTATGATTTCAACTTCTATAATATTATATCAAAACATGTCCTAATTCAGCCTCTTTCGATTGCTGGAAATCACAGATCGCCAGCTATTGCCGTTCTCGAGATATTCGTCTTACATCAACTCACACTTAATTCTGGCACCGACAATAGTCACGGGTCGGTCCAACGGTGTGGAAGTGTGGATGTAGGGTACGGATGTGGGTGTGAGTCTTTTTCTAGCTCTTTTCCACCCACACCTGCACCCATTCGTAAACGAGGTACATAAGATTTTTTTTTATCGAACACAAATTTTTTAGCATAATGCACATGTGCTGTATCTTCAGATCGAGAAGCGTACAGTAAAAAATACAATCCTTGTTGATGACTTATGCTTTTGTGAATGTTTATTACTTATAAATATCTCTGTTTTCAATGAATCTTTAATTTACAATGAAACTTTTTGTACTGATACACAAGAAGATCGTTCATGTGCGAGTCAAATTATTATTTCTCATCGTCATGCGAACAAATTTAGCATACAACCTACCTATAGGAAGCATAGGCTGAAGGATACAAATTTAGAGATATTTCCAAAAAATGTATTATATCCGCAATTCTAAAATTCAGCAGTATTTATTAATTTTTTCGTGCTGGTTGAATCACGCTCTTCAAGTAACATATGGAAAAAGGACTTCAAATATAAATAAGAATTTTTAATGAAAGTCAAAATTGTAGGTCTATTGTGCTTTTATATTTGAAAGTAGTAGTATTTTGGATTTTTCTCGTCAATATCTTATTTACAATTATTTGAACAGAACTTCTTCTTATATAGCTGAGGGAACTCTATCCAGGAGTAAAGAGAAATGAAAAATAAGTACTGTTTAAATTTCAGATTGTGAAAATAGTACATTATACTGTAAATATATTTCAATTTAAATATATTTACAGCTGTGCAGGTTATGCGCAGCTCGTATATTAAATTTATTAGTTTGGTATAGTAATACGAAAGGCTCGATTGTTAGCTTAAAAAAAATCTTTCTATTGAATACTTTATATGACGTTTAGTTTGCATTATCATTCTCGGTGATAAATGAGAAAACATTTTCAAAAAAGTTCATACCTTTTTTCTTCAAAGTAATCTAACGGGCGAAGTAGTTAAAATAGCTACGCTTCGCATTCTAATTTTCAATCACTTCATAGGTTGTATTAAAAAAGCAAAATATACCACAAGATGATCAATTATCTCCTGAACTTGTGATGGATAGAGAATTGAATTCTCTATTGAATGACAGTATATTCAAGGAAGCGGCCTCATCGGGCTAAAAGTAGAGGTTAGGGTCTAAATGCCAGATTTTTGACTAAATCTATAAGCATTAATGCTTGCTGGCATTCACTCCTGGACTTGTGATAGCTCTGTAATCGATTGTGAGTATGGGTGTTGGTTTTATCAGATCCACCGCATTGTTCCACACCCACATTCGATCGTGTAACAAAGATCTAAAAACCTTCTCGATAAAGAATAGAACAATGTTATGTTGTTGTTATTTCAACAACAATAGAACTAGATAGTCGAAAACGAGGCTTTCGTCTCAAGTTGCTCAATTCTAATCTCATGTTGATAGATGCGAACATATTTTAGAGTAGCAAATAAACCAAAACTGAACCTGATCTAATCTTGAAAAGTTCTTATTGTATATTTATGCTTTATTTTCAAAAGTAGAAGAAATTCATCCATTAATAATTTTTCTAGAAGGAAAATTTATGAAATAATTAAAAGTGTTTGATACCAAGATGAAGAATAAAAGATAATGTCTGAACTCAATATTTTCTTCTTTTTTTGTAAAATGTTGTCTATAAGTAAATCATTAACAAGAATTCATTTAAGATGAAGGATGAGAAAATCTTGCTGTGTGTTCAAGATTTTTCATAGATCGACATTCATTTCCATATTTACACGGAGTTAATTTAGCTTTCGATGGATAGGCGGCACGTAGACTTGCTGATGTACTAATTTCTAAATAAATAAAAAATTGATATTTATCCACAAAGAGATAAATGTAAGATACAAGAACAAACTCACTCTTTATTAAAGGTATTTCTTCGCCATGGAAAAATTTCATCCGATGATCAGCAGCTTTGTCAAAACAGGTTTCTTGAAAACGACATGGAATTAGATAATCAGGTAAACCTGTATGACGATATTCTGCACGATGGACAGGGTTTGATCTTTGGGAACAACTTCGATCTTCTAAACACATGGGAATATCATGTTGCTTGTGAATAAGATGAGGCTCGCTCGACTGTTGTCGGCACAATTCATTAAAACGACAAGGATGAGAATATTTATCAATATGATCTTTCTCATTTTGAAGGAGACAATAGATAGAATCTTGACAAGGAGGCAGTGTCGATGAAATCAATGGTGATGGAGTAACTTTTAATGGTTTCGATCCGGATGAATCAGGTTTCAATGGCTTCGATGGGGGAGAACGAGATCTTCGTGGTTTTGGTAGAGGAGACTCCAATTCTGATGGATTGTATGACGAAGAATCGGATTTCGATATATCATCTTTAGAAGATTCCGATGGAGGCGGTTTAGATTCGCTGGGATCGGCATTTTTAGTCGAACCGAAAAAGACGTATTTTAATCTTCCAAAAAAACCTCGTTTATCTGGTGTTGGTTTTGGTGTCTCTATTGGTGTCGGATCAACTGGTTTCTTTCTTAAATCAGTTGTGGACGCCGCTCGTTTCATAGAAGCTTTTGGAGTAACATCAGGAGTATGTGTATCTTTGACTTTACGATCCATGCTACCAACATGATGAAATGATGCTCGACGTT